TTATGAATTATTTTATATAGATATAATTATATCATTCTTATCATTATTATTGAATAAACAATTCTAATTGTTCTATACATAAGGATTGATTTTCTATTTCCATAGAATCAAAAGGTTTGATTTATAATCGATTTGATTTTCTTTAATTATCTTATTCTATTTCTTTATAAACTAACTTTGAACCTATTTAATGACTTAAATTTACAATCATCACATTTTATTTGAGTGAAAATTTCTGAGTATTTTAAAAATATATTTGTCAAAACTTGAATGCAAATCGAAAATGAAATTAAATTCAAAAATAATAATAGTTATTCTTAAATTGGGAGAAAAAAAATATAATATATTATGAATAAGGATAGATAAGCATATAAAAATATTTAAAATTGCTAAGTTATAAAAATAGATTAAAATTATTAAAGATTAGTTTTCAATTTACAAATATTATTTTTGATATATTCAATTAATAATGTGTAAATATCTCAAAAAATCTGGAAAAATTCTGTTGAATACATTGATAGATAGGAAAATATCAAAAATCAAAAGTTTAGTAAGATCATACTTTCTTAATTAATGATAACATCAAATAACAAAAGTAATTTAACAAATGAACCTATCTTCAATTATATTAAAAAGATGAAAAATTCAAACTCAAATATTTACAAATACCTATATAAGTTAAAGTCTAGATCAGTAGGATAATAAAACATGATTTTGATAATTTTTTGTAATATAATATTATAAATATTTTAGCATATCTTTTTCATATTAATTCATTAACCAATACCAATATTTTGTATATAAGAAATAGATCTACTTAGTCTTGCACTTATTAGATTAAAATTTTTCTAATTGATACTAATATTAAGTTTTCAATTTCTTCATAATTAAATTGTAACCAATACGAATTATTAAAGTATTAAAATTATGCAGATTCAATGATTGAATCAATAATATCTTAATTCATTGAATCTTTTTCTTCTTGTGTTATTAAAAATTTATAATATTTTTCATATTTTTGTAATAAACAATAATCAAATATATTTTTAACTTATTCTTTGATTGACACTCTTATTTTATTTTCTCTCTATGATATAATATTGTATTATTGTTAAACTTTAACTAAAGAGTCAGTTATTGAATAAGATTCTAAATTTTAACCGAATATTGGAATATAATATTACAATATAGATTTAATTACAACTTATCAAATGCATTTTCAGATTCAATAATTTTTCTAAATCTTTGTTAATTTTAGGAATTATTTTACATCTTGGAGATTAACGATAATCATTTATATTATCATCTATATTTAAACATTAGAAGCAATTATTAT